GCCCGGGAGCTGCTGCCCTGTGTCACACGGAGCGGGGGAAGCACTCGGGGAAGAGAAGAGCCAGCGCTGTGCCAGGGGGAGCAAATGCTGCCAGCGGGCAGATCCAGCAGCCCAACGCTGAAGCTGCTGCTGCTGCCCTCTGCTCAGCGGGGGCCCTGGGCTCAGCTCGTGCCTGGTCAGACAGGAAGCAAAAGGGAAGAGTAAATAATGGGGGGGGTCTTGAAGCTCCTCTTTCAAATTTATTTAGCTTTGACTCTGCACAGAGCCATAGTGTAGCGTACTCTAGCCTTCAGGGAGGGGCACAGGAACCCCCTGACCACACCGCGGTTCGGGGTCAGCCCCCAGCTCCTGTGCCTTGTGCCCTGCCCCTGGAGTGTTGTCGGGGCGTCTGGCACAAGGGCCCTGAAGGGTAGAGAAAGCCCCTGCCCCGCGGCGCCCTCGGAGCCTCATAGGTCGCTGCTGCAGTCGCGGCACAGGATCTCATCGTTGTCAGGGATGAAGCCTTTCCCGACCAGCGAGGTGCTGCAGCGGGCGCAGTTAAAGCAATTGTGGTGCCAGTGACGGTCCTCAAAGGAGACGTATTTACCCCCGCCAAAGCCTGTGGGAGGGACAGGGAGTTGGAACCCTGGGGAAACTGGGATGAGCTCCACGCAGACCAAGTCTTGGCCTGTTCATCTCCCAGTCAGGTCTTCACACGCAGCGCTGCGCTGTGGCACCCAAACACCCCCCGTATCGAACACGTCTGAAATACGAATCTCCGCTCATTTTGGGGAGAGGACCAAACCGATTTCACACCAGATTTTGCAGTGTTGAGACCCTCGGACCAGAATCACCATTTTCTCCCCGGGGAGGAGCAGGGAGCGGAGCTGCACCACGGCAGCGCTGTATCACAGCAGGCAGCTCGTTTCCTCCGCTGGCAGCGGCCGGACTCGTGGGCTGTGACCCCCTTCTCCCCGGGACTGCGACAAACTGATAAGGCCCAGACAGGAAGGGGGGTGCCCGGGAGCTGCCCTGTCCTCAGCCAGAGTCATCCCCTGAGTCACCAGCTGAGTCAGGGCTTTTTCTGCCTTCCCAGCAGCGAGAGACGGAGTGGCAAAGGGAAGGGTCCAGAGGGGAAGGACAGGAGGGAGGCCAGAACCTCTCAGGGGTTTCTGCAGAGGACCCCCGGCTTCCCCCGCCCTAGTCTGGACCCCCCTGCAGCCGCTGCTGCTCCGGCTGCGGCTGGAAGCCTCTGGCCTTCCCTGTCTGTCAGCAATCCCTCCTCAGGACATGGCAGCCTGTCCCAGACAAGGCAAGCTGGAGACAGATCATGCTGTGAGGGGTCATTGCGGAGCCTTCTCCCCCGGGCAGAGGGAATTCCTCCCAGGGGACACAGGTCGCCACTCTGAAAGGTGCAGAGGAAGGGTCACGAGTGGCCCCCGGAGCACTGGCACAGAGAGCTCCTCTCTCAGGGGGTTCCTCGGGAGGCGGCTGCAGTGGTTTCTGCAGGGGACGTGCCTGAGGGCACCTTGTACCACCCAGCGACTGCCCTGGGGAGGCCTGAAGTGCCCGGAGACACCCGAGCACTGCGGGGGGGCGGCGGGCAGGAGCACCCCGGCCCCCACCCCACAAAGCCCCCCACAACCCACCTGTGATGGGCTTCGTGCAGGCGCTGCACTTCTTGGCATAGAGGTTCCCAAAGCACTTGATGCAGTAGGGGTTGTCGTCCTGGGAGGTGAACTGCTGCCCGGCCAGGGGGGTCTTGCAGCCCGTGCAGACGAAACACTCCTTGTGCCACGGCTCGTCGCGGTAGGTCACTCCCCCCTTGGTCAGGGTCTGCGGGGAGAGCACAGGCTGTGACAGCAGGCACGGGGAAACGGGACGCGGCGGCGAGCCGGGGCGCCGGCGCCGGGACCCTTCTCTGTGTGGGGTGGAGGAGTGGGGAGCAAACACGTCCTGGGGCAGAGGCCGCGGGGGCTCCGGGCCGTCCAGACGTACCTTTTTGCAACGAGTGCAGCGAGGAGCGAACTTGCTCTCGTAACAGGGGACACAGTAATAATCCTTCTTGTCTGGGATGAAGGATCGTGACCCGATGGGCTGCTGGCAGCTGCTGCAGATGAAGCAGTGCTCGTGCCAGGTCTGTCCGTTGTACTCCAGTTTACGGGATCCTGCGGAGAGAGCCGGTGGCTGTGACCGGAGGGCGCAGGACACGCGGGGACACGGGAGGCCGCGCAGCACAAGCTGCACCGCCGGCTCTGTGCCTGCCCTCCCCACGGCAGCACAGGGCCCCAGGCAGCCGCAGAGGGGAGGCCCCAGGGTCCCCCCACCGCTGAGGGAAGGGCTGCGGGAACACGCGCCCAGCACGGACGCCTGTGTAACCTACATCTGAAGCCAGTGCCAGAATGGCCAAGCAGAGACACTCCTTTGCCTCGGGCCATCTCCAGAGACGCTCACACGCCTTCAACCATTCCTTCCCTTCTCGTCAGCACACACCAGAAAATGCCCAGGAAACCTTTTGTTATTTCCTCCCCAGCTCCTTCCCCATGAAAAAGGGGAACAGACAGGGCTGCTGTGGTGACTGCAGCTCTGGATCCTGCCGTTCTGCTAGACAAGCAACGCGCCCGACCCGCTCTAGGCAGTGCCGGTGAGGCAGGAGAGCAGAAATTCAGCTCTTCCTTGCTGCCCTAGTGCTGGACCCCGCAGCCCCGGCCGCCGCCGCCGGGACCAGGAACAACCCGCCGTGCTCGAGCCTGCCCGCTCCTACCTGGCATGACTGTCTTCTCGCAGGCAATGCATTTGGAGGAGAACTCGCTGCAGTAGCAGTCGTTGCAGAGCAGCTCCTCGCCTTGGCAGGTGAAGGGCTCGTCGGCCAGGGAGCGGTCACAGCGGAAGCAACGGAAGCAGTGCTCGTGGTAATGGCGATCCTCGTAGTACAGCTCCTGGGGAGGACAGCCGAGGTGAGGGGGGGCCCGGCCGCCCCAGGAGCCGCCCTGCCCGGCCGCGGGGTCCCGTACTCACTCTGCAGTCGTGGCCGATCAGCTCTTTGCACTCGTCGCAGGTGTTGGCAAAGTGGGCGTCGTAGCAGGGGATGCAGTACGGGCCGTTGTCCATCTGGATGTACTTGCGCCCGTACAGGGACTCCTTGCAGTTGTCGCAGTCGAAGCACTCGGTCATGGTGCCGGTCTGGGGGCCTCCCTCACCTGCTGAGAGACGCCGGCTCAGCAGCTGCTTACGGGGCGCCCCGGCAGGGCCCCGCCACCCCTGGGCCGTGCACCCCCCGGGCAGGGCACAGACCCGAGCTGCCGCACGCGCTGGGGCCGCACGCGCTGCCAAAACAGCCCGTGGGCCTGCGACGAGTCTTGCTTCAGGTTTGTGCTCCAGTTCAAAGAGGGGGAGCGCTGGGGCACCCCTCAGAGTAACCCAGACACGCCCGCAGGCAGCTGAGCTTCTCGCTGTCTGCATCCCTGCCGGGCAGCAAAGTGTTAAAGGATGACCAAAAGAGAGAATTTTTTTGCATGAAAAGTTCTGATTTGGCACCGAGAACGGGACCACGCGCACACGGCGCGGGTGCACATCCCCTGTCACCTTGAGGCAGCGCCGCAGAGACCCCCGCAGCCCCCCCAGGGCCTGAGCGCGCCGGGGCTGCCAGCGCCCCAGCCTCTGGAGCTTCTCTGGAACTTTAAAGCAGCTGCTCCCCAGGGAAGCAGAAATCGGGCACCCCGCACCGTGCCCGGCTGCGAAGCCACGTCCCAGCAAACTGTTTTGCACATGTTGTTCCAGCTACACGCACTCCCCGGGGAAGAGGTGTTGGGGGGCGCTGGGGTTTCACATGCAGATTGGACACCCCTGGCTGCCCCCCGTCTCCTCTCAGACAAGAGGCTTGTGGAATGGTTTTGCTTTCTTTGGAGCACTAACCAGGAGAAGAGTATCTTCCTTCTGTTTGGTTTAACCTGGTTATTCCTAAATATGGAGTTTTCCCCTTGCAGAATCACACCCTCCTCTAACGCAGGCTGCTGTCAAGTGCAGACAAGCCCATGGAATTACATCTGAGCCGTCAGCGGCAAAGCGCCGCACGCTGCAGCTTTCCTCGGGATCCCACCCACCTCAGAAGAGCCGTTAGGGCTCCATCTCCAGTTCGGCGTTTAATGGGGCAGGAGCTCACCGCCAGCCTCCCTCCGGGGCCGGAGCCGACCCAGACAGCTCCAGCTCAGGGCAGCGAGCTCCCCGGGGCTATTCTTGGTCAAGCCACACAGCTCCCAGCTGTTGTCAAGCCCGTATGCGCGATAGGGCTGCCGGTGAATAAATCTAGTGTTCCCACATGGCTACGTGACCAAGAGAGGGGGAACAAAGTCCCTTTTCAGCCGCTCTCGCTACCCAGCTGCCGCCCCGGCCACTGCCTGCCCCGCTGACCGCCCCGTGCCCCCAGCCCCGGCTCCACGGCGCGTCCCTGCGAGAGCACCCAGCACCCCGCGCAGCTCCTGCCTGCTCCTCGGCCACCGCCTCCTCCTTTGCCACCCCACTTGCCTTCGCTCCCTGAAGCCACGCGGGACCTTTCTCTCCGGCGAAGAGCGAAAATCAGCTTCCTAACCCTCCTCCTCCTCGCAGCCCTGCTGAAGGGAACTTTCCAAGGTGTGTCTGTAATAAACGAGCGCTCCTACCCTGGGAGCCAGGGCACCGCCAGAGCTGCCATGTTTGCTCAGCGGGCTGCGCTTTATCTCTGTGGTCCTGTAACACGGGGTCAGAGGACGCTGGGAAACACGAGGGAAGGAAAAACAACTCGAATGGAGAAGCCTCGGGATTCACCGGTGACAGGGACTCGGCCTCCCGGCCCCGCCGTGCGCCTGGTCCCCGAACGAGGGGCAGCACGTCCCGGCGCCGCAGGGGCAGGATGAGCCCAGCCAAGGACTGTTGGGGCGCTCCCACCCCTGGACCCCGCAGGGCAGGAGCTGCTGCCCCGGGCCCGCGCCGTGCCCACCCCCACGGGCACCCCGGGGCCCCCCAAGCAGCAGCTCCGCAGCAAGAGCTCGGGCCATGGCATGGGCAGAGCCAGCCCCGCTCCCCTGGGGCGGCCGAGGGGTCGCTGTGAGCGCAACGGGGAGCGAAAAAAGTAGCGACAGGGCAGGAACATTTCAATCCCGAATGCTGTTTGTCCCCCGGGCTCCTGGCAGCCCACCGGGACCCGCAGGTCGCCCTGTGCCGGCCGGGGCAGGAGCCCGCAGCGCTGAGCAACGCCGCAGAGGGGGGAAGTGAAAACCACACAAACCCTCTGAAAACCATCTGCTGAGGAAGCCCCTAAAGCGTGCGCCACGCCTGCCTCTGCTCCGAGGAGCTTCTCCCCAGCGCCTGGCCGTGGCTGTGGCCCGCTGGGCCAGCCCAGCTCCTGCTCCCCGGGCCGCGGGGGCTGGCAGAGGCACGGGCCGACAGCGGAGCAAGGCCCGGGAGCATCACGTGGCCGAGACCGCTCCGAGAACAGCCTCCACGCTGCCTTTTCCCCAGAAGAAAGAACAGGCCCAGGAAGTTTGCTCAGGGTTATTTGTATTAGATAAGCTGTTTGCTCTCTTTGTTCTGGTCTCACACGCAGCGCTGGGCAGGGGTGTCAAAGCCCTGTGCGACGCCAAAGCAAACTCCGCATCTTCACCCCCGAGGACACGGCGCTGCCGGAGACCGAGTGTGCAGGGAAGAGGAAGGTGGGACAAAAGAAACAGCACAAAAGCCCGCGGTTCTTACTGTGACTGTAACGAGGAACCTGGAAACTGTCCCCATTCATGAAGAAAAAAGGCGGAGTCTCAACGCATTTTCAAATGCATTAAAAAACCCTTTAATCGAGGCTCAGATTTAGAAGGCACAACACGGGCAGCCACTCTGTGTGCGAATCGGCAAGTGCTCACACTCTGCGCCACCCCGTAAACTTCAGCTGTGTGCTAGGCTGCGGGCACCACCAGCCCTCCAGCACCAACCAAGGTGTCACCCTGAAACCACGGGAGCCTTGGCTTGCCCATTACCAGCTGGCGGCGGCCCCCGGGGCACCGGGTCTCCTGAGGCGGGTCCCTCGTACGCGGGGGCTCTGGGGCTGGATGGGGGGGTTTCTCTCAGCTGTCTCGCTGGCTGCCTGAGGGCAAAAATAAACAACAGATATATGCCTGCCAGCTGCCTACCCTTTCCCTTTGACAGATATAGCCGTGCTCACGGAGGAAAGGAAGTTCAGTTCCTCTCCTGTGCCCATGAACAAACAGCTTTGGGAACAAGAGCTCCTCTCACAAACAACATTTAGCGTGCTCGGGGATGCAAATCTGATCAGTCTGGAACAGAGCTCGGAATAGCTTCACGTATGAGAAAGGTCAGCAATTTGTCAAGGACGCCCAGCAGAGCCCACTTTCTAATTAGAGAGTAACATGCACCCACCACCACCCCGTGTCATTGTCCGCAGCAACACAGCAGATGGCTTAGCAACAGCCCCAGGAGATCATTACGGTAATTTTAGTGCCTATAACCCAGGGAGCTCTTATGCAAAGGAGCCCGTGCAGACTGTCCAGGGCCAGGCTCCCTGCTGCACACAGTCACTGAGGGGTTTAACCAGCCTTTGGAGACAACTCCTGCCACAACAAACTCCTCCAGCGTGAGGTCTCACCTACGGGGCGAACCTACAACCCCGTGTAACTTCACACCAGTTTGTTGCTCGTTGTCAGGTCACAACCAGCTGCTCCACGCAGTGATCCTAGAGCAACCCGTAAGGCTATTCCTAGGGAAACACTTAATCTTCCCCGGACACAGGAATAGACCTGCCTCGGACGGCCCGCAGGTCCCTGCCCGTTCCCATCTCCGCGGGCTGCCCTGGGCACCGCTCGCGCGGCCGCAGCTCCCCCCTGGAGACGCGCCCAGGCGGCAGCTCGGCCGCGCTGGGACGGGCCGGCGTTCCCCATGTAAGGACGAAACCGTCCGGGGACGAGGCTCTGGAAGACGGTTCTCCACGCGCTCCAAGGTCAGAGGAGGAGAAGAACGCTTTTTGTTCCCGTTGGCTTTCCAGAACCATTATGGGTCCTGGAATCTGCGTGAAATTGTTTCTGCCTGCCATCGACCCTAAAAGGGGAACCAGCTGCTGGCTGAGGAGCAGCTCCAACCCCCCGTCAGGCCGGGAACATTTTCGGTCCGCGCTTCCTGACCCCGCTCCCGCGGCTCCAGTCCAGGTCACGGCGCAGGGCCCAGGCTCTCGGGGGCCCAGGCTCTCGGGGGTCCGGCCCCTTGGGGCACCACCCGGGGTTCCCACACCTCCGCACGCTGCTGCCTCTCTCTGTACCCAAACCCACGAGCGCAGCTTTAGACCTGGCACAGGGGGAACAGCGTCCCCACCCCCTGTTAAAGGGGACCCTGCTTGCGGGGAGAGGCCGGGGGCAGCTTGCCAGAAAGGGGCTGAGTGTTTCATCGGGGTGACCCAGCCCGCACCAGCACCCTCAGGAGCTGCAGCACACCTCACCCGCCTGCTCGCAGCACCCCCGAGGCACTCCCTGCCCCCAGACCTCCCCTCCGCGCTGCCCCCGGCCCCCGCCTCCCCCGGCACCTCGGAGATCTCCAGTACCAAGGGCTGCTCGGGGGGCTCCGGCGCAGTGCGGAGCAGAGTCCCTGCAGGGACCATCAGCACAGACACGGGCCTCACCTGGCAGCTCCCCCCCGGCACAACGGGAGGATGCTCGAGGCCATTTCTCCAGCATGGAGGGAAATTTGGGTCTCAGAGTCCGCGGGGTGTAAGGCCACACATCAAGCTCCACTGAGCAAGCTGCAGCGCAGGGAAATCCCCAAGCACAGGCAGAACAACTCCAAACGCAACAGACTTAGCCAAATGGCTGTCAGAGTTCTAAGGAAACACCCTCCATTTCGAATGAGGTAAGTGCTGTCAGTCTCCCTTGCTCAGCGAGGGGCAGCTTCCTGAAAATGCCCGACTCGGGTAAGTGCAGTCGGCGGTTGCTCTTCCCCAAAGAGCAGGCTGACACCCCGCTGAGACAGGAAGCACCTTTATCACTTTACACATGAGTGACATGGCACAACAGCCATGCTAACATTTATTTTCTGTACCAGCATAATTCTATAGAGGAGGTGCCAGGATGCATCTCCAGGAGGCCAGGCTCACGTTCATGCTTCCTTGTAACACCAGTAACGCTGATGCTGGGAGGAAAACGACCACTGACGCCTGGTCTAAGTACCTGCT